TCTTATCAAAATGGAAGATTACATTTCCAAGCTGAGAAAATTCACAAATCTGGACTTTCAATCAAAACATTTTTGACAGTCTGGACATTTTCGTCCAGAAGGATCTTCTTTATTGAGAACATGTGTTTTAATATTGGATTCGAACGTAAAAGGGTTTGTAATACATACCAGCTGACAAATGGATTTCGTGTACAAGTAAAGGTAAGACCATAAACTTTTATTATTTCTAGTTAGAAATAAGCTCAACTGGAATAAATTTTAACCTCAAATTAAATATGGGTCACGTTTGTGTGAAGAATGCTGATATGAGATATGAAACACAACGCATTGTCTGTTAACAAACAATTTGTATTTGTAAATCTGACTGTAAAAGAGTTAGTGCCTCACCAGCACGTCACTGCTCTCTGGCATAGCCTCACCAAGGCACCCGCACACAACGTTTCTTCCAGGCCCCATAGATTGCAGCTGCGCCTCCGATCAGAATGTCCATACAGCATTCTTCATTCACAAAAATTAGAGAAAGGTATTTTGGTGTGAGTTGTCTAATATTTAACAGTTCTTCTCTGGTAAAAGTAATCCAGGATAAGTTGCAGAAGACCAAGAAAACAAAGAAAAACAACAAGCACAAGAGAGCGTGGGTAACCAAGGCTGTCATTGGTGTCAGCGCCATCTTACTTACTTGCCTAATCTATAAAAGTAATGCCAATCACAAATTTGCTCTGATGTTTTCAGAGATATAATGACCTTATAATGTGCCAGCTAGCTAGCTCTACTTAGTAGGCATACTTTAGCTGTAGCCATTGTGCTCATATTATCACATTCAGTAACTTATGGGCTACGTGATAAGATGTACAATGTAGTGATTCACATTATATAACGTTTATATTGCATAGTAACAGGTTTGAGGCCTCTGACACCATAAATGTTACAATTTATAACAGCCATGAGAGATAAGTGGCAGCTACTATTATGAATGAATGAAGAATGACTGACTGGTGTCATCAGTGGTAAGATGGCTGTGCAGTAGAAATGAATTTCTCTGACCATTCGGGAGCCTGCAGTGTGTTTACACACCATGGTTTGGTATCACCTCAGGTCGCTTGGAAACTCAACAGAGGTGATACCAAAAATAGTACCAGGTATCAGGTACTATCCCCAACATCTGAAAAGGAGCTATACATCATGCTGACTTGTCCAAGCAAATGCTAAAGATGGCTCACTTGAGTACAGTGGGTTACCCAGCACTGCCCATGTTCTTGCTAAAGCTATTAAACAAAAACTTACATTTAGGTTAACTTTACCTGTTAGGCTAAATTACCTGTCTAGCAGAAAACAGACAACACCGGTGTCATTCTGGAAACATTTGTCCCTCATCAGGTTTCTTCGTTTCTTCAAATTATAGTTCTATGGACAATGATTCCTCTTGTTTCTGACATTACTTCTTTTTTGTCATCCAAGCATCTTCAAATCCAAGCTGTTACTTCAAATGAAACTTGTTTTTTGTCTTCCAAGCATCTCCAAATCCAAGCTGTTACTTCAAATGAAAGCAAAATTCACCTTTTTTACTGGGTGCATAAAATTCACATTTTATGCACCTTTAAAGTCAGCATATCTTAGGGATTGCATCATCAAGAGCCAAAGAGCAGATAAAGTGAAAATTGTTTCAATTTATGTCACTTGTACACTTAGTCTAAATAATAACTAGATTTAATTAAGAACTTACTATATCTGAAGGTTTCTGTACTGTTATGTGCATAATTATGCAGTACATGAGTGGTGTAGTTAATAAGAAATATAATGATTGTATATTAATCAAAGATAAAACGTGTGTCCGCCATTAAAATGTTGCTGTTGTGTCGTCCACTCCTGTGAGATTTTTGGTCTCTTTGGGCACTCTACAAGTGGTAGACAACATGCTACAGCACACTTTTCATCTGCACCACCCAGCTGTCAGAGTGAAGAGCCACTTCCATTAAGTGTGTGTCTTCCCACTATACAATTATATACAGGCACACACACACTCAGGCTCATGAAGCAGACACGCACACACAGAGAACCTCACTCTCTGCTGAGACTGTACTGACGTTACAAGACTACTTTAGTGTTTTTTGTGTGTGAGAGGGAAGCAGACAGAGAGAGAGGAAGAGAGAGCAAGCGTACGACCTTTAGAGTGCTCAGGGTAGGGAGCCGCTTTCCCTTTTACTGAACAGAAATCAGCAATTGACCTGTCACTTTTGCTCTGATAGCCATCTCTGCAAAACAGGTCATGCACATATGCCTAAAGTGCCTCTTAACTGCACTTTATGAAGCCAGAAAATGTAATCCAATAATGATTTGACTTGCTAGAGAGAGAGAGAGAGAGCCAGCCAGCTGGGAGTGATAGCATGCGCCGTTACCACTCCTAAAAGCAGCTTGAAAAAAAAGGGCACATTCCTCGTCCTTATTTAATTTCCCCCACAACAGTATGACACAGATGTTGTCACTAAACAGTGGGCAGGCTGAATTCAAACACAACAAAACAGCATTGGCATTCATTTCCACAACTGTTGATACATACTTCAGCATGTTTGCAGTGGAGAGCTCATCTGCACTGAGGCAAACCATACGCTATCTTTTTTTAGACAGCTTCATTTGTGCTCCTCCCCCACCCCCACCACTCCCATTCAGGTTCCCAAAGACAAATAGCATGATACAAAACTAATTAGTAACCAGGAACTAGTTAGGAGATGCCCTTTGAGAAACATGTCCTGAGGCAGGATTTAAATATAGGGACAGAGTCAGTGACTGAATGTGCCTGGGAGATCCCGGCCTCCAGGCGCAGCAGCACTTTGACCCCTGACCCTCATTATAGGAAGTGCATTCCTAGAGGGGTGAAACCCCTCACAGCACAAAGTACAAGGGCATGGGAGGACTGTAAGGCTCGTACCACACCAGTGTGGCCTGGTGTGTCTCACTACCCAATGATGGGCTTTAGAAAATACAGAGGAAGGACGAAGGCTAAAGTAATGGTATACACTCGGGCTCCAGAAAGATAAATGCATTTTCATTTTTAAGTGTATGGCTTCACTCTATTGGAGCTAATTGGGATGGTATTCTGCACAAAGAGTTCTTCAGGTTTTCTAATCATAACCATCTAAAGACATAGGGAAAAATGAAGTGAGAAGATTAGCTTTGAAAAAATAAGTGTGATTTTATAGAGTGAAACATTTACCCTTGTGTAAACAGATGAAAAACATGATGAGAAGATGAGTTCGTTGCTGACATGTACACATTTCTCCTATGTGACTTGTGCATTTATGTCATCAGGCATGCCCTTGACAAAGGGTGTGAGTACCTATGTCTCCCTTTAACTGTGACTGGTGCGAATAAACAAACACACACACACACACACACACTGTCTCTCTCTTATGGGTTTATACTCTCATCACTGCAAACAGACTTGGTTTACATTCATTAGCCCAACACTCGCAGCAATCAGGCCACAGTGCCAGGGGCAATAGTCCTCTTTATAAAACCACATTGCCTAATAGCAGTGTTCTATAATTATATTCCATTAACATCTATCAAAATGAGCTCCTACATGCCACGCATATTAGCAGTGGATTTGGCACTTTTTATTTACACAAATGCTTTTCTTGTTATTAGCATCTTCAGTTAGTTAGCACCAGCCTGAAGATTATTGTCGGCATGTTATTTTTGTTTCATGTGAAGTGGAACATTTGGTGCACGCATAAAAAACATGTATGTCGCACTATTAATTATCATATGCTATGTTGATTCTGATGTGGAAAACACAAGAGAAAATCATAATATAAAACAACACCAGGTTAGAAAACACAACAATGTGAAATGTTACCTCGGTTGCCTGTTTGGTTGTTGTGTTTTCTGATATGTTGTTTTATTTGGTTCCCTCTGTGTTTTGTTATGTTCTCTAAAATGTATTTTCTGTATGTTTATTGTCTTTTGTCTAATACTGTTGTGGTTTTCACCTCAGGGCCATCATAGTGTACAGATTTTTAGCACTGTAATTAAATAAGCATTATTATGCATAATGGACCTTTGGGTTAAAAATGCGAACACAATTTCCAGACAAACATAATTAGTTTATTGATCAAAACACAAACAAATGAATTGCCACTCTTGCATGTCTTTCTGCAGTAGGTCCAGTGTTACTGTAGGTCTTTTGTTTTGATGGTTCACTTACACTGAATTACTTTAAAATATTGTTTCCTAACAGGGATGTGGGAGTGAAGACAGGCTGCGGTGCATCATCTGCAAAGCCAAGGTAAGTGTATTGATGTAGGTGTGTTTTTGAGAGGGGGATATTATAAAAATCCAATGAGATAGTTGATATCTCATTCTTTTAATCTTACTGTGAGAAATGTAGGCAGTGAGCATTTAAACAAACACCATTTAAATCATTAAACAGTGACTGCATCTCACAAAACAGATTTAAACAGCAGATCCATAATACTAATGAGCAATCAGGTCTTTGTTTTGCTCTGTGATTTAGTTGATTTGCCAGCAGTTGCTTATGAGCTCTAAGCTGTCTTTTATTCCTTATTATTGCAGCAGAACATTCGCTGTGGAAAAGGAGGGAGAAACATTACAATATTTGGCAAAGAAAACAGGCCATGTAATGACAAAATCTGTATTCATTTCATGAGCAGAAATTAAGCACGCTTTCCTGTGTTACACTGCTAATGCAAATTTTCCATCAACACATTGTGTCTTGTGTTTGTAAGTTTATTCATATGAAATGGTGGAGCTGATGTGTCATCACAGATGGGGTTGCATGCAGGATAAGGTGGCCCCATTACTAACCATCTCAGATTAGGAAGTGTGCTGTTGATGTTTTGTATGTATTCATGCTTGTGCTGTGGGTCAAAGCATCACAAGCTGGCTACTGAGTGTTTTATTCATTGTTTGCTCTACATTGGCAGGTTGAAAATGTGCTCTTTGCTGTCTGTTCTTGTGAGTATGTATGGGAAGGATCCGCTCTGTGGAAGAATATGTCACAGTAACTCTGATGACCTTTCAGGATTTTGAGATATTTTAAACATGAAGTAGTGCACACACACACAGATTGACACACTGATGCAAGTTAAATGAAACATTTAATCTGTGGGAAGTGTGATGCACTAATGTTTTTATTCATCCAGGAATTTCTGTTTGTCTCCATTTGGAGCCAAGGAACAAGTGCAGTATTGTTTTTTAATAGAAGCCAGTATGTTTCTGTTGTAGAAGACAGAAGACAGCTGGAATTTGTTAACAACAGGCTGATGAGTATGTTTTAAGGCACAGATGGTAATGTTAAACTGAACTTCTCAATTTTTGTTCAGGAAAGTATAAATTTTAATGGTACCATGGGTGTTGTGCATATTAATTTTTTTTTTTTTCAGAAATGATTGTTTTTGACATATATGTAGAAGCAACATTAACACATTGATCCCTTTTCAACATTTAAAAGGTGGGTGGACCAGTCATGCTGTTTGTTTTCTCTGAAAGTGGAAGTGAGTTAGCCCAGCCTATTACACTAGCTTGCTAGCTTCCACTTTCTGGCCAGTTAGCGTAGCTTGCACTATTTAGCCTAGCTTGACTATTTGACCTCCACTAGCCTGCTTAGCTTTCCAACATTAGTGCAGGTTCTCATTACTTTTCACTCATGTTAGTCCAACACGTGCTTAGCAACTTCTATACACTCAAGCCAGACTGCTGTCATTAGCAACTTCTATACACTCAAGCCAGATTTATACTTCTGCTTTGCACGTCTGTCATTCGGAGACGGTCGCATAGCATTTATACTTATGCAAACATTAACATTCTAACTAGATGCAGAAAAGGTCAGGAAACATAAATGGCAGAGATTCCGAACCAGGCTCAAAGATGTTACGATTTTTGTCCCAGACTTGGTTTTATTTCAGTTTTTTTTAAGTGGTGATATATTTTCAGGCAAGAAAGTAACCACTTAGATAGAGAATAGGTGGTCAGTCCAGCCAAGTAATGCCAATATAGAAATTTGCTCCAACGTTTTTCACAATGTGAATACCCACTAGCAGACCAATTAGCAGGCCACCACCAGTCAGATCAACCAATCGGTGCACAGGACACGCAGCTCCATACAACACATAGTTGAGATTTGGGAGCTGTGTGTGTTGGCCCATCTGCAACCATCAGCAACTTGTATTTACCCATAAACCTCGTGTGCAACTTGTATTTACCCATAAACCTCGTCACTGCACACTGTAAAAATGCGTGCTGTTAGTCCTGCTATACCTAGGGGTCTTGCTAGTGTCAGTGCTGTCTTTCATGGGACCAGTTATAGTGATGGCAAATGACCAGACTGTCAAAGCTCTCATAATGATCCAGCATAAGCCAAAAAATCTGGCTAACTAGATCCCTGGTTTCCTAACCTACTGAAACTTGCTAAGGTTACCACTAGATAGTACTTGTTGTTTATGTTTTTAACACCTACATTGGCAGTGCCTGTACATGCTGTATTTATTACACATTATGAAGTGGGAATAACTAGTTGAATCTTTATTTCACTTCAGCCTTAAACCTAAAACAACAAGCATTATTATACTGCAAGGATTCTGTGGTGCAGTTTATTGATTTGCTATACTAAAGGTCCCTGTTTTGCTGTACAAAATGAAGGTGAAGAGAAGCTGTCATGCTAACATACTGTACAGACTTTCCTGACTGTTACAGTGTAAGTCTTTTGTTTAAATGTAAGCCATTTTCATTTTGTTTATTTATTTTTTTCTGTTTCCCTGACTGTATTTGGCTGCAGGCAACACATATTTTAGGAGTTAAAATGATCTCTGCTAATCCTAACCCTATGAGGGGACATTTCTTGGACTTTTGCAACACCACCAACTGACTGTTGCACTTCTCTTTGGTCATTTTAGCAGTGGCATTGTCATCAGTTATTAATGACGAGCGGTAAATGTTTCAGAGACATCCCACTGAGAGGCCAAACAGCTATGAACAGGGGTTAGTGGTGGTACTAGTAAATACTGTGAGTGGCAGCTATGCCATTTAGGGAATGGTTGTTGGGCAGTCTCTGCTTCATATTGATAGGAACTCTGCTACTGTAAGTTAATGCATCAGTATAATAACATTTTAATGTCTGCAGTGGCACAGCCATTTAATATTTGTCCACAGAGAAATGTATATGTAGATCACCAATGACTATAATGATGATAGTGATAATCATTTGATGCTGCACTGCTGTCACTAGACTTTGAGCAGGCAGTACTCATCATACAGTCTCCAGTCCAATGAACCAGCCATTTCATTTTCTAGTTTTGTTATTGTTGTTGTTGTCTTGGTGGTCGTGATGCTGCTTTTTCTTCTTGCTGTTTTCCCATTTTGCAAGAGGTCTCAAATGTGGGCCATTTGTATGAGTTATGCTAATTTGTTGGGGCAATGAATGCATTAATTTCATTAGCACATGGCCTCAGAGCCATAATTACCAGAGTAGGTATGTCACAAGCAATCATGTTAAAATTTGCCAGTTAATTATTAAGATTTTGTTTTGAGGGACCTGGATTTGACACGAGTCGCTGAGGGGGGAAAAAAAGAGGCTAGGTGCTTGTTGAACACAGCGGGGGTGGCTGTGGCATTGTGGGCCTGCTGGCATGGTTTTTGCATGTTGACAGCTCACATTCTAGACTAATTACTGAAAATAGCAGAGGGCTAGCTGGTGCTCGGTCAGTTCAGGAGGTGTAATTATAAAGAAAAGGAGGTCCAGAGCTGTCTAATGGCCTCTGCTCCGTTTGACTTGAATGTGGTGGAGAAGATGCTGGTGGGGAGTTGGCCCTGATTAGTCCAACACAGATCTGGGCTCAGGAGGACAGACTGTGTGTCTAATGATGCGCTCTTTATAAAAAGTAGTCATCCTTTGTACCAGTAGGGTTCCTCACCTGAAAACTGTAGGAGCCATTGTAGTATATTACTGTTTTCAGAAGAAACTGGTTGTTTTTTATTTCTTGCCAATGTTATTTAATTTTTACAGTTATTTGGTAGTATATTATAATTTTCTTAACAGAACACCCGGTTTTATACTGATAAATAATGTAGAAAGTCAGAGCACGCAACCATTATATTGTGGCGTTTTGATCACGGGAGTGCCCTGAGCTGGTAGTGGAGGATCAGGCAACAGGTAAAGTTTTTATGAACTTTGACTGTGACAGCAAACATGTTTAAATGTGATTTAAATCCATTGTATAGCAAAAGGAGGGCACTCAAATCTTATCTGTTCACTGCTTGAAACTGACAGCATGTTTCTAAAATGTCTGGTTATGCTGGCAAATTATATGTTGCTTAAAGATCAAAACTGCTGATACAGTTAGAAGTGATTTAGGCTAAAATTCAAACTACAGAGATGCAGATCATGTAAACCCATTTTATGCCATTTTCCTTGGAGACCACTACAAAATACACGTTGACAAGGGTTGGACCATTTAGAAAAGTGGTTTTAATCTGCATATCTTCAATGACTGGATTTTCTATAGCAAGCATCAATGTCATTCTGAGTACTCCCTGAAACTGTGATGCTTTATAAATCTACAGCACTTCAATTTTCCTGTTTTAAATTATTGTAGCATGATTATCATATAGTGGCACCCAAATGTACAATATGTTTACTTGGGTAATTTTAAAATGCACACACTAAACAAAATTGAAAACAAGACAATAAACAAATCTTTGTGTCTCCCAACTTTTCTCTTATAGCCAAACCCAAAGAGGAATACAGCCTTGAAAATTCATTATGCTGCAGGACTGATTTTACACGCAATTGCAAAGCAACTTTAAAAATGCATTGTTGTCACCGCTAGATTGTCACTAAACCATGAGTCAATGAACTGTGTTTTCCAAGCCAACCATTTACATTTCTCAATAGCAGTATTGTCAGGATAATAATGAATGGATGGCTGGTTAATACAATACAAATGAAATGCACATTTGACATACAAACAGGATAAGACTTATTATGCTAGACACTGCAGAGTGTTTGATTTTGCAGGTTGCACCCATTCTGTGACTTGTGTACTGGCTTTAAATAAATGAATCATATCTGGTCAAGATTTCAGTTATAATGAACTGGATTTTGAGGACAGTGGACAGTTAAAATGACTAACAAAAAAGAAGTCAGCCCAGAAGGAGCAACATTGAAAGCTTGGTTTCTACTTCACATTCATGGAACTTAAAATCTCCAGCACAGTTTCCAAACCTTCCCCGCCCCATGTCTCTCAAGTGTTTCCTTAAAAGTGCTAGTAT